CATCGATGAAGGCGAAAATTTCCTCGACAGAAAAAAAAGAGCAACAAAAAAAATTAAATAAGATGCTGTTATATTCAGTTTAGCTTTCAAGACGCGTACTGACTAAAAATAACAATTCTTCCCTTATTAACATCAACCATCGTCATCATCGTCGTCATCTCCTTAATCAAAGGATTCTTTCATCAAAATCAGTCAACTGACAACATCAAAAAATGATTTTTTTGCTCTTTTCGTGGTCGTGACTGTTTGTTTTATGAGTTCAGCCATCAAAAGCTTTAGAATTATTATGGGATTATGTCACAGATTAATTTATCATATTTTTGCGTAGTTTTGAAATAGAAAATTTATTATGAATATTAATTAGTACGGAAAAATGTTATTAATTCATCAGTTCAGCTTGTTTAGTTGTTGATATTGTGGAAGATTATTAAAATTGGCTGAATTAACATTAAATCAATGCATTTTGTGAGGGTTATGATCGGATGTATGCATAAATTATATTTGGGTAGTTAATTCTTACCAAAATTTCATAAAATTTGGGTGAACTGGAAATTTTACGTTTTATATGGCAAATTAAAAATCAGGCTCAAAAGAAAATTGGGGGGGGGGGGGGGGGGGGGTTGATATATTTCTTTTATAAATGGACTCTGAAAAATTCGTTTTAATATTTTTTAAACCTTAACAGTCTGTATTAAAAAAAATAAAGTCGAATCGAGAAAAGTAAAAACCCGAGTCAACTTCGAGCTCTGCTTGTTGCTCTATTTTTTTTTCATTCACATTTTCAACATTTTCACTAACCGTAAAACAGAAAAAAACAAACATTTTCATCTTCTAATTTTACAGCACGAAAGATTAGGCTTCCTTCAAGCCAGCGAGCTTTTGAATAAATCACGATGTTTTTGGAACGTAAAAGTAAAAAGAAAAGTAATTTAAGCAGCACGAAAACCTCAAAGTGTAAGGAAGAAGATTTAGGTGTACGGATTTCAACAAAATGAACTTCTCAGAAGGAAGGAAAATATTCAAAAAAATCTTGTAAATGATTGCATGCTTACGTTGAAAAAAAAATTTAATCAATAATTCAAACATTATTTACGATAACATTCATCAACTTGGGATTCAGAATGAAACTCTTTTCTGGTTCTTTTATAAAAGGAAGCAGACATTTAGAAACAAAAGGTTTGAACATTCATTTTGTTCTTTAGATTGAAATTTAATTTCGTAGAAAGTTGAAATTTGAAATTGAACATGTTTCTAGGTTACTTTAATACTTGAGTAGGTTGCTTACTTAGCAACCTAATTTTTCTTCTTTAGGTATGTAACTAGGTCAGAAACCCTGTCAATATAATTGCAAAACAACAAAGTGAAAAAGAAAATTGCGATGAAAAGATTTTTTTTAGCTTCTTATTATTTATTAATGAGAGTTCATTATCATTATTTTCTTAACTCTTCGTTTGTGAATCCGAATTAATTTTCACTTTGACGGTTTTCGTAGGTTTTTATGAATTTCTTTTTTTTAATTGCCAAAATTTGGGTAATTTTGAGTCTATTGTTTCATATATTCAAAATTTCGTTCATTGGTTCTCAACTATTCATTTACTTATTGCTTTCAATTTTTAGGGGGGAGGGGGAAGGGGTTTAGAAATTTGCAGAGGGGGGACAAAGCGAAAATTGTTGAGAAAAAAAACGCAAAAATGTTTATTGTGATGAAATTTCCAAGTACTCCACTTTGTATTGGAAAAAAAATTGTCGAAAATTGAAATTTTCCTTCCGATGTAGTTTATGACCAAAATTTTGATTGAAACTGATGAGAATCATGATTTAAGACCTTTTGACATCTAAAAACTTTTACTTGGATGCTTCAGTTCCTTTAAATTTGACTTTTTTAATTTCGTTTGTGGAGTACTTGGAAATTTCGTCACAGCAAACATTTTTTGGTTTTTCTTAGCAATTATTGTTCTATACTCCCCCCCCCCCCTGGAAATTTTTAAAATTCTTTTAAATTCCTTTCAAAACTTAACAATCTTAGAAAAGTCCTTAAAAAAATTAAGAATTGTTATAAGCAGAGTTTAAAGAAAAGAGGTTCAACGATGATCTTATGTCTGTAATGCAAGATGCAGGTTTACGCAGTGCAGAATCGAGATATTTTTCAAATATGAAATCCTTTTTTAAAATTGTGGAGGGGGGGGGGGGGGGGGTTTAGACACCCTCTAGTATGATTTGTAATAGGATTCCTGATTATCATTGATTTTCAAAAATATTTGAATGATTTTAAAAAGTTGTCAAAGGAAAGTGCAAGTAGCTTTAATCATCTATAAAACCGTAAAAGAAATACTACAAAGCTCTTAGTTCCACCCTTGTTTATTGACTTTTATTCAACCTGTAAAAGTTTACATTCAAAATTAAAATACCTTAACCCATTTGTTTATTAATCCCCTTAATTACTCTGAATAAGTGCACCAGGAACCAAGAAATTTTTTTATGGATCTTGTTTCAACCTTTCGAACAATAACAAATATGTTAAACATTGTTTAGTTATTGGCGAGAAGAAGCTTTGAGAAGAAGAAAACAAGAAAATGGATTTAGGGCATTTTCATTTGGACAGTCTTAATCAAATATATTTACTATGACGCAAAAAGATTTCGTAATCCAAAAGCCTCCATGAAAAACAGAATTGTATATCTTATGACTGCAAGCTGTTTGCATTTACGTCAACAACTTTCAGGAAGTAATATTGTCAGGAAGAATCTTTGTCTTTATTTCGCTTCCGTAACTCGAAACATTGCAGGAGAAAATAAAATATCAAAGAATATTCAACATTTTTTAATATTTTCAATTTTGACAAAAAGGAAGTCTTATAAGAAAAATGAAAATTCTTAGCTTCATAAAAGCCAGTCAAGTAAAAATTTTCATATCTTTTGAATTGCAAATATTCCCCATTAAGCATAAGATTCTTTTTTTTTTGAAATTTTCATCCTTTTTTCACATTGCTCTATACTTTATTTGATCGCTAGCTTTGTTAAAAAGTCATGAATTAAATATGAAAAGTTTCATCTCTAAAAACGTTCCTTTATGTTTTACTAAATTGGAAATGACGCTTAGAAAAGATGAAGAAAATGCTGTAAAAACTGGAGCAAATTTTTAAGAAAAAAGCTACAAATTATTGCGAAAAAAACAAAGACTTTTGATAATTAAACTAGTTGTCCCGCTTCTTGCATGCAGTATATAATCTATACTATCTTCATCATCAAGCAACTGGCAATTTAATGCGAGAATTTTCCAGAAATATAAAAAGCAGGCAAGCAATTTTTTTTTCAGCTCTATTTAGCTTTATAAATGTACACACGATAAAGCATAAGCAAACAAAAAAAAAGCAGCAACATCAATTGTAGTAAAGTCAGGACTGAGGAGCCCCACATTCTTGATGATGTTGCAACAAATTATTTTTATGAGAGCAATTAAGACGAATTTATGGTGTACAATTATCTTTCATTTTCTCTCTCTCGCTCTCTCTCTTCTCTTGTGCTCCATTGCTACTGCTTCATCGTTCATGAGCTTTATTTTTTGCTTGCTTTGCCTTCTAGTCTCTCATTCTTGCTATGTGAAACTTCCATATTACTGCTGTTATCATAAGCAACTTGACTTTCCTGCACAAGCAAAAAGCATGATTAGAAAGTGCTGTTGTTGATTTTTTTTTTCTTCTTCATCCGACGAATTTTCAATGAGTTGAAAAAGTTTCGAATAAATTATGCATGAAAAAATTTCAGTGTTGTTCTGTTTTGTTGTTACAAGATTTTATTATGTCGCAGTTTGATGAGGCAAAAAATTAATGAGATAGAAAATAGTTTGACGATTTCTGGGGATGAAGCTTGTCGAAAGTTTGTTTGGATTTTAGAAAATCTTTGTGATTTTTGGATTTTGTTTAAGTTCTGAATTTTTAATTAAATTTCTTGAAAACTTTTTAAAATTGTTAACATGTCAATGACCTGTGGAATAGCTTGCAGGAGGGAAGTGTTAAATTTCAACTCTGAAAATCCAAATCGACAGATCAAATTTTCTAGCATTTTCCAAGAAAAATAGGTTAAAAAGTGAGAAATTAAGGAACATCATTTGTATGAATAATAACCCCTTAACATTAAGTCCTGAATTAATCTTGAAACTTGCAAACAATTTCCACATTAATTCCCTCAACTCAGACTAAACTATTAAGCAAATCATTATCTCCTCTTTCAACCACTCATTTACCATCCAATTATTGAAAATAAAAAGATGCAGAATCAACCATTCCCATTTTTTTTTTGTGGATGATTAAGTTGGGGAAAAATTTCCTTCATCACATGAATTGTCGCGTAATGAGGTTCTGCTTTTCGTCTATTTTCTTTTTTTTTGCCATTCTTTTTAATGTTTTATTTTGCTGGCATCGACGAAAAGTATTTTTAATTATTTTTAATCCGTTCTTAATTCCCTTTTATTGCTACGAAAAATTATGAAACTTTTGCTCCTTTTTCTCCTATTTTTAACGGAATTTTGCTTCTGGAATATTTTTAAGGTTCTGATGTGGTTAGATTTTCAGTGTAGGAAGTATTTTAAAGCGAAACATCGAAAATTTTTCAAAGTTAATAAATGCCGCAATGCTGAAAATTTCTTTAATGTCGCAATACTGAAAACTTCTTTAATTTACGTAAATAATGAGTGAATTCTTTGATAAATTTTGTTGATCCAAAAATTAGGTTGTAAAGGGCAAAGGCACTAAATATCAAAACAATTTAAATTAAGTTGCTCCAAAAACGCTTTTATCAAGAAATAGGAAATTTATTCAGTTCCTCCAAGTGACCCAAAATATACCAAATCTTCATTAAATTGAAAAGGGGTCGTTCACTTATGACGTCCAGGGGGGGGGGGGGGGGGGTTCAGCAACAAAACAACAATAAAAAATCCTGGAAATTTATTGTTTTTTTTTTTGAAAAATGACCGTTAATTTTGGACGTCATAAGTGAACGACCCCAAATCTCATTGATTCATAAAAATCTTCTTCTAATTTGATGACTCCACATCCAAAAACTTTTCTTCAAGACATTCAAAATTACTCTCCTATTGAGATTAATTCCATTTATTAGCAAAAATGCGCTAAAGTCATTTTGCATAAATCAAGGCTTACATAATTTCATTCGGACAATTTCTGGCACTCTCTATTATTTGTAAGAAATTCTCTTACATTCCGAATAGGACGGTTGTGTGCAATACTTCGCTTGCCTTTTCCATGATAAAAGAAGAGAAGATAGACGACGATGAAGAAAAACCGGAAAAAGTAAATAACGGACATAAAAAAAATTTCATCACGTCAACAATGTGAGATCTGTTGTATAAAAGTAGTCAGTGGAACGAGAAAGTCACAGAGAATTTAAGTTACGAAAAGAAGTAAAAAGGAAAATATGAAAAATTTATCTAGAGTGATACGAAGTCATTGGGCATGAGAATTGCTCCCGATGCTGGTTGTTGATTTGCCTTTGGCGGTGGTAACGGTGATAATTGCTCAAATTCCTCCGTTTGATGATGATATGGTGCTGATGTTAAATGATGATTAGATTGTTCACTATCATGATTAAGTAACTCCTCTTCATCCTCAAGTTCTTCGTCTGGTATTGACAATGATGAGGCAGCAGTTCCACCAATCGACGTATTGCCCGAAGCCGTTACACGTAATCCCATATTATCACTTTTGAAACTACATGAAACACATTTGTTATTTATATCGGCTGATACGCCACTGCTACTTATTATTAATCCCGCCATACAATCAACATCAGTCTCAAACATCCTCGGCTTATCATAATTTTTCTTTGTTTGCTTCAGTATCGACACAGGTGTTTTTGAACCAGCATTTAAGAGCTTATTTCTTGGTAGTGTCGCATAAGACTCTATATTGATCGGTACAATCTGCGATGTCGGTACGATCGCTGTTGAGACATTCGTCGACGATTGTTGTAACGATGATGTTGATAAATTATTGGCTGTTGATGAACTTTTCATACGATTTGGTACTATATTTAATAAATCTGGATACATATTAAGATCATTATCTAATGAATCTTGTGTCAGTGAGACAGAAATGAATATATTGCCATATGGCGGTTGATTTTGTAGTGATGATGAATTTTGTACATTAACACTATTGCCCGTGGCATTAGCAACGATTGGAGGTAAATTGTGTCTCAGATGTTGCTCCTGTTGATATAATTGACCATTTATTATTGATGATGATGTCGTTGATGTTGGCACCCCGGCAATAGCCGACAGTGACGATTGAGTCGTTGTCGCTGATGTACAAAATTCGGGTGGAGGTGGCGGAAAAAGAGCAATGGATTGATTATATGGATTATATTCATCACCCATACGACGATGATGTTGCTGCAGGTGATGCTGTAAATTATGTGGATGATGAAAATTTTCAATTGTTATTTGTACAGGCTCAAGTGCAATTATTGATGAGTCAGTTTTGTTTGTTGCCGACGACGGTGTATTCAACATGTCACCATAATCTCGATCACGATCATTTGTTGTCGTTATACTCAAGTCTAATAGCTTCTTTTCTTGGTCATTAAAGCTCACACTACCTTTTATATTCTTTTTAATGCGACGACGCATCGCAACTTTACGGCACACACAAAATACTATGGAGATAAGTAAAAAGAATGTGATTGTCCCGAAGATGCCTACAACGAGGCCAAAGTACCAGAAATTATCATTATTCTTAATCAGCACATGCTCATAGCCGACTTCGGGCAATAGTAGTGATACATTCTGACTTGCATAACCTAAATCATTTCGTGCGAAACATGTATAAAAGCCAGCATTTAAATTCGTTATGTTGTATATTGATAAATTACTCCATATTTTATTATTATTATTTTTATTATTACCATTGCTATTTCCGTGAATATTGTTATTATTGATGTTATTGTTGTTGATGTTGTTATTGATGCTAATTATATTATTGTTGATTCCACTGACAGCAATATTGTTACTATTTATTGCAACCGACGAAACTTGCGGCAATGATGGATTATTATTATTCGAATGCATCGGATCATCATTATCAATTACAACATTATCATTATCAATCTCTTTACCATCTAAATACCAACCAATTGTTGGTGGTGGATCGCCCGTCGTGTAACACTTAAATGTAATGTTTGATTCTAAATCACTTAAGCTTACATCCTCATTCAATATCTTTAAGATTGGAGCACAGCCAAAGGCATCTTCATGAATATTTTCCCAATGTTGATCTAATAGACTATATGGCGACTTACATTGTAAACTTATTCTATTTAGATTGTTTTTCACATACCAATTACGAAAACTTTTCAATTTACAATCACAATTCCAGGGATTCTCGTCGAGTAGGAGAGTTTTTAAATTTTTCATATGATTAAATACCAAACCGGGCAGATTCTGTAGTTGATTTTGTTTTAAATCAATATATTCTAGTAGCTCAACATTCGAGAATGACGTCTCATCAATGCTGTAAATGTCGCAGCTGTGCAAATCGATTGTCCGTAAATATGGCAAGGATGGAAATTGATCCGCTATAAGTTTCTTTATTGGATTACCATACAATAACAATATCCTCAATCGATCATTGCCCGCAAATGTTTGCTTATCCAATTGTTCAATTTGATTCTCGCTCAAGTCGAGTTCGACGAGTATTTTTAAATCCTTAAATGTCTCTCGATGCAAATATTTGATATTTGATTTCTTTAGAAATATTTTCTGTAAATTTATCAGACCGAGTGTCGTAAACTCCTCACGATTCAATGTCTGTATGTTATTTTCGTTCATCATCAGCACCTGGATTTCGGTCGATAAGTTTACTGGAAGTTGCGTCAAGTTCAGCGAATTGCACAATGCTGATTTCTTTCCATTCATCCATTTACAGTGACATCCGATGGAACAGTTTAGTGTCCAATCAACACAATTGATTGTTCTTGTCACACAAAGTACTGCAAAAACTGTAAAGAAGACAATAAAGAACAAATTAAGGGGTGATGAAAAAAATTAACTCAATTTATTTGCAATCACGTTCCACAATTCTTTCTAGATGTCCCATCATCTCATTTATTCAGCAGAAAGTAACGAAGAACTCTTGACAAACTTAATGATAAGGATGCTTCACGAGAAACAAATCATAAACGATTATGTGGAATGAAATAAATGCCGAAATGCTCTTGAAAGTAATGCTACAAACAGCAACAATAAGAAAACTTTTTGAACGCAAGTTTAATGACGGCAGGACTCGACGAACAATAATCCTCAACATTTAAATACACAGCAGAAAAAAAGAACAGAAAACAATTTGTTGAAGAAAAACTCAGGAAACGAAAGTAAACACAAAGAAAATTTTAAATTAAAATAAAAGAGTAAGAAATGGACGTGAATAAAAGGTTTGCAACGAATTTTGCTGTGACCTGATTAAGGTTAAAATGAAAGTTCATTACAAATCTTGTTAAAGTCGAGGTTGACCATCTTTAGGAGCAGAAGATAGAATTTGATTGATTGATTGATTGATTAATGTTTATTCGCCCTCTCGGGTAGTTTACAAATAAAAGTAATTATTAAAAGCTTAACAAGAACAAATTTATTGAATTTTATGCAATTTTATGACTTTCTTCAAATGTAATCAAAATAAGATTCCCTAGTAACCAAAAGGTAGATCAATGTATTCCATGAGAATCTTCCATGGATGATACATATGTATTATCCATGTATTATCCATCGGAAGATGATGTCCTATGGAAATGGAAGATAAATGGACAATGCAATAAGACATCAATGTAATACATCAAAGGAATACAAATGGAAAACAAATGGATTACTTTTTTTTGGATAAAAACACGTGTTAAAATCCACGTGTTAAAATCCACGTGTTCTTTTGTATTTTTCATTTATTTGTGTAATTTTTTGTAAAAGTATTAGTGTGTACTTAATTAAAGTACACTAACACTACGAAAAAGAACAAAAGGACTTAATTTAATTAAGTCGCATACTGATGAATGTCCAAGACTCGCACGCAAACCTGAGGAAGATAAATAATTAATTGAAAGCCCCATACAAATTTAGAGAGAACTTATAATAGTGATTTCTTCGAGCAATTGTGAAGTATATGGCAAATGCCAAATTTAGAACAAATATTATTTTCCTGCAAAAAAATATTTTTTTGATGATATTTCATAGGATTTGATCCTAAGCAGGCTCGGGTAATACTTCGATGGAACACTTCTGTTACATATTTGTAAAACAAATATTTTCCATATAATAAATAATGATACATTTGATCTTCCATCGATGTCGAAGGAAGATTATATGGAACATTTTGGTTACTAGGGTTTGAAGCAGTATTTTCAGAAAAAGCAAACTGTTATCCACTAAAGTTAGCAAAGCAATAAGAATTGAAAAGAGCAAGTCAAACCAAATGGACTCAAGTCTCTCGAGTCAGTAGTGCTTAAGAAAAGTGAAAAAAGTTTTCAGTTTGTTCTAATTTCGTATTCATGCAGCCTTAAATATTTGACTTTCAATAAGGGATTTAATCAAATTTTCAAGTTTTTAATAATTTCATTTCATGATTTTACAATATCATGAAATGTAATTTTTTCTCATTTTAATTGCACTTTATTGCATTTATTGACGACATACTGTCCGGAAATAATTCACATTTTACACTTTTGTATTTGTATACATATGAATTAGTATTATGTAGGATCAAACTTCTAATCTTCATATCTAGGTTTCAAATAAACTAAGGCTCTCGTTTCGATCTTCTGTAGGCGTTACGTGATACTTTTCAGGTCCGTTCTATCAATATTCCATTCGTGGGTAATCTTGTAGCTCTCGTTCCTATTTCTCCCGCTACACTTCAAGTTCCTGACCCGTTCCTTAATCCAACGTTGCCCAAATGCCCAATTATGGCTTGATCTCGTACATTAAGCAGTCGAAGTATCTAAACTTCCGAAAAAGAACAAATTTGGAAATGGCTGGATTCGAACCGACGACCTTCGAGTTACCATCCCAAATTTGAGCCAAGCGCCTTACCTATTCGACCAGCAAGGCACTTAACTGCTTAATTGAAAATATTTAAATCGGATGTCTAGAAGTTTGAATATCATAAATTCTTAAAATGAACAAATCAATTTTCTTGATTCAAAAGATGATGAATTATTTCGATTTATTTTAATTTGAAATTAATGTAATTGATTTGTAATATGAGATTGAACTATATTGGCAATATTCAAGTAGAATTTAATAAAGTAAATGCAAGCCTAGTTCATATTAATATTTCCAATGCTAGCAAACAGAAATTTTTGAGTTTTTATTATTAGAACTTCGAATTTTTGAGGTTCTTATTATTCGAAAATCGAATCTTCAAAGTTCTTATTTTTAAAAAAATTCGTTCTGAATTATTATTTTTCGAGTAATTTGTAATTTTAGTGAACATTCCTACTAGTTTTTATGATTAAGATAATCACTGTGATGAAATTGCATTCCTTAAATGTTTATGCTTTAAAAATCAGCTAGTTTTAAAAAAAATAAAAAGTAACGGACTTTCTTATTTTGAAATTTTAAAAAAATTCAATGTTTTACCAATAAAATTTTAAAATTACAAAGTAAATTTCTTACAATTCAAGAAGAATTAATTCTTTAAGAATTTTGAAAATCAAAATCATTTTAAAATTTTTTACCGCACGTGTTGCTACATGCGCAGTAAAAAATAAAAATTGCAAATTAATCGCGAGTTCTCAGAAATGAATTGATATTAAAATTAAAATTCATAAAATATGTAACGGGTATAAGGTTTCCAAGCTTTTTTATAACAAATTCATTTTTAATAAGCTAGAAAGATGTTACAGCCAAGAAATGTCAGATGTGCCTTAAACAAACAGCAAAAGTTCATTTCAGGGTCTTATTACAACAATTAATAAAGGTAAAAACACAATTTTTTTTATTGTACTATCATTTTAATTCTAATTCCGTGAAGAAACAAAAAATGTAGCCGTAAATTAATGAATTTAAAGAAGAAGAGAAAAAAGAAAAAGGACACAAAAGTTGGAATGAATAATTGCGTAAGACAGGATGGTTCCATAAAATATTAATAACAACGTAAAATGCTGATTCCATTTGGGAAGTAATGTTTTCAAGGAGGATTTAAGAGTCTGAAATGTTTTAAAACTAAGAAACTTTAACAAATCTTAAATGCATTAATTTTGGTATTTTAATTTGAAGTTGTCTATGGATAGAGCCAGTTTTAGTTCTTCACTTCAAGCAGTAACAACAAGCAGCTCAAGAATCTTCTAACCGGGCTACTTGACAAATGAATGACCTATCAAACATGTGCAAGGACAGCTTAAAAGGCGATTCTTAAGGTAATTGACTTAAAATAATTAAACTCGAACATTTCTTTCTTGAATGCTCTTCGCGCTTTATTAAGTGTGATTTTTTTGAGAAAATAATCAAGGGGAAGAGGAAGCAGTGGTGATACAAAGCAAAAAATTTGAAAAAATAACTCGATTTTTGTTATTGAGATGAAATTTGTAAGAACTTAAAAAAAGGAAAATTTTTAAAAAAAAATATGCTTAAAAGAAGAATTTAATCTTCAAGCCAAGGATCCCACAGATTATAATATTCCATATAAAAAATATTACAAGATTATAATCTGCCGGAGTCTTGCCTGAAGTCTAAACTTCTGCTTCATCTCCAAAGAAAATAAAAATTATTCAGTATTTTTATTTATTTAAATTTATTTAACCACCCAAAACTTAAAGCTACAGAATATTTTATAAAATATTTAATTAGTGAATATTTCTCTTAATTGAAATTTTACAATGACGACAATCCATCCTCGCAGTTTTTTTATCAATTCATTAGAAACTTTTCCTACAGCATCCACCTACACTAGTACAAGAATTTTAATGAAGCAGCCTTAACAAAACGACTACAAAATATAAATTGATAATTCCTCATAAACTGTAAATCTTCTTCACAAAAAAAAATTATTTCTTTTCCAAGAAAATCTCAAAAAAGTTTCCATCTTAAGTATGAAAATGTAAGGCAAAAGTGAAGAGAGGCACAAAAAAACTTTTTCAATTCAATTTTTTTTTTCTTTCTTAATTCTCCGTTGAAAATGAAAGAATAAGAAAAGGAGAATGTAAAGGCAGGCGAATACATTCGTGAATGATAAAGTTATGTCAATTGCTTTATCATCGTTTCATAAAAAAAAAAAAATTCTTCCTTTCCACGGGGTTATTTGATAATAAAACTTTTTGCTCATTCTTTATGTCTCCTTTTGACCCGAGCAACCAAAAATTTGACGTAGGCTATGATGTAATTGAGTGTTTGGGATTAATGTTTGAGTTATTACTCAAAAACTTGTCGGTTTGATTCTCTTTCGTAATCTGTGGACATTTTATGATTGATTTGAAAACATTTATTAAATTTTATTTGGAAGTGATTGGACACCTTTTGTTGTTGCCACTGGTAAAATTAGAAAATTTGTGTTTAATTTCGAAAGCCTTTGTAATATAATGTCAAAATTAATGAACGACCTCAAACACCTTTCAAATGCCAGTGGCCAAAAATAATAACACTTCTCTGGCACTCGTGTTGTTGCTGGTCATTTGCAGTAATCGAAATGTCCCACATTGTTTTCATTTAAATTTAATGCTTGTTAGCATTTACAATTTCATAATTGAGGCAGCATTTTAATAAAACATAATTATTTTGTGTTTTTGGAACACATAAGCTTGGAGTAAAGTTTTGAGCAACTTTACAGCTTACTATTGCTAAGTTTTCCAGTATAAATTGCTAAAAACACAGAAGTAGCCTATTGTATGTCCTGAAGAAATCAATTAAAAAATTACTTACAGGACATTGTTTCAAATATCAATTAATTCTGTAGCGGTGTTGGAGGTTCAATAAAGGAAAATGGTGTAATTGGAACTGGATTTATAACTCTTGGTTGTT